CATTTATATCTAAATAATTGATGTAATTGATTTAATGGCACAATAATTTATTTGTCAAACTTCTTTTTGACCCTATAATTTATTTTAATACGCCAGTTATATATTTATACATTTATTTCCAATAATGATAGGTTTGGTCCTCCATACAAATACATGTTTATCAAATAAAGTCTAATGTTACAACTAATCATGGATGCCTTTAATTTGTGTCGGACATCTTGGATCTCTTGAAGTTAATCGGTTGTAGACGTGCGATCAATGTTGAAATCATGAAAACGTCTTTTTGTTTCCTCAGCCTCGGATCCTTACGTGATCATCCGCTGCGAAGGACAAAAAGTTCGTTCTGCCGTCCACAAAAGCACCTGCAGTCCCGCCTTTAACACAAAAGGACTCTTCTACAGGAAGAAGGCCAACCGACCAATCAGCATCGAGGTCCGTGTGAGTCTGAGTGCGTCTCTGCGTCATTGTTGATGTTAAACTCACCCTCTCTCTCTCTCTCACTGCGTTTCTCAGATCTACAACCACAACGTGCTCTCAGACTCCTTCCTGGGTCAGGTGACGCTGTCCGTGGAGCAGGGCAGAATCCAGAAGACGCTCCACCTGAAAGACAAGGGCAATCGCAGTGACAACGACCTCCCCGGTACCGTCACTCTGACCGTAGAGACCAGCTCGGTGCTGAGCAGCATCTGAGGCAGACGTCTGAGCTCGTTTACGTTTTATAAATGTTCCAGAACACCTGCGGTGGGTGTGTCTACATACTGAAAGTACTTCCTACTTTAACCACTGTTTACGAGGTTTTATCTCCAATCACAGCTGAAAGATTTTTGTTCCATTTTTTTCTGGTTTAGCTTTCTAAATCTTATATGTCTTGTTTCTCCCAATCAGTGATGGAGTAAATGTTTAATTTTGGATAGATGCACTAAGATATTTTACATTAAACTGACATTTTATATAGAATATAGAGAATTATTTCCTTTCTTAATCGTCTCCTTGCACTTTTTATTTTTTTTATTTTTTTTAGGACCAAATGCTTGTTCAAAGAAACTAAAGTCACTGGTTTGTTTTATTAACATCAGATGAAAAGTTATTAGCGTCACTGCATCTCTTTTTGCGACGGAGATGCAGTTTTTAGTGTTTTCGACGCCTCAGACGTTTGTTTTTACAACAGTATTTAAGGATTTTTAAAAAATGAGCAACAACCAGCAGTTCGAGCGGTTTGTTCTCAGAGGCGTCTTGTTGGTGGATTTGAGGACAATAAGGCTTCCCTAGGATTTACCAGACCTGAGAACAGAAATCTGAGGTTGATTGTTTTCAGATGAAACACTGAGCTTCATTTTTGCTGAGTCAGAACCAGCAGCTCCCTGCCTCGTGTCGAATGGTTCATATTTGCTGTTATGGTTTGTGTTTTTTACTCATCCTGTAACGCCCCTTAATGACCAAAGTTTACATTTTTCTGATTTAAGTTGTATGTGTCATGCCACAAATGAAAAAGCTGCTTCCTGAGAACAGAGGCGACTTGCTGAATCGGCGTATCAAAGCGGAATCTTGCTGGTTTCGTTTCTACCAAAGTCTTTTCTTTCAGCAGGTGGTTTTGTTTCCTTTGTAGTTCCAAACAGCTCATCGGCCCACCCTCTGAGGTTCTTATCAAATATAAACTGTATCTTTGGTGCCAAGTGTAATTATTTGCCACAGAAATGGCCTTAAGTTAAGGTGTTTTACTGATGCTGTGATGATTCCTGTGGACCACACCGGGCTCTGGACCACTTTTTATAAACGGGTTTTAGTCCACTTCCAGGTCTCGGATGAAGCGTGTGAAAGCAGAGCAGACCGACACTGTTGTTTTTTAACTTGTTTTACTTTTGCATGAATTCCAAGTCTTCCTCCTCCTTCTTGATGGGTAATTTATTCACTTGATGTAATTTAACTGCTCGATGGATCTTTGTTTTTTTTTATCCATCAGAGGAGGTTTTGAAGGTTTTTCATGTGAAAAATGATTTGGTGAATACTTAATGCCAAAAATAAAGTGTACTTCCTTACAAAATATCATAGTTTTCTTTTTTAATGAATTGCTTCACCAGTTGTTTAATAAAAATATGCAGTTTATAAGAGTATATACGACCACAGAATGCAAAGTCATGACTAAATTGCTAAGTTATCATTCTCAGATGCCATGTCATGACTGAAATGTTAAATCATTCTGAGATACTAAGTCATGACTGAAATGCTGAGTCATCATTCTGAGATACTAAGTCATGACTGAAATGCTGAGTCATCATTCTCAGATGCCATGTCATGACTGAAATGCTAAATCATCATTCTAATATGCTAAGTCATGAGTGAAATGCTAAGTCGTCATTCTGAGATACTAAGTCATGACTGAAATGCTGAGTCATCATTTTCAGATGCCATGTCATGACTGAAATGCTAAATCATTCTGAAATGCTAAGTCATGACTATGAAATGCTAAATCATCATTCTGAAATGCTAAGTCACAACTATAACATGCCAAGTCATCATTCTGAGATGCTAAGTCATGGCTGAGATGCTAGGTCAACTAAGAGATATGTAGTCATGATTCTGAGATGCTAGGTCAGAAATTTGATTTGCTGAGTCATATTTATGGGACGTCAAGTCAAAACTCAGGAATGCTAAATTACAATTTTAAAGTATCTGTAAATTCTAAATTATGCTTCACTCTAGGTGGCAGAAACCAGATGTACAACTATTTAATCTAAATACTTTATACAAAGTCAAATTATTTCCAGGACGTTAATGATTGTTCCACTGAAACATGCATCATACAAAGAACACGCCAACACTTTATCACAACCTGTTGGTAGATTTTGCTCCTAAAAACTCGTTTTTACTCTCAGCTTTGTTTAAAGAAACTTGGAAAAAGTCGGATCTGTTTAACATTTGAAAGGCAACCTTTTTACAAACCCCAAAACATGAAGTAAAGCTCCGTGAAATAAAATTTTAAAACCAAACATTTTGTTTATTACAGGCATCACGAGGGACCAGAGCCTCTTCCATTGAAATCACGACCAGACTAATAAAACCTAAACAGTGATTTGACTCCATGGAGAGAGAAGAAAATGAAAAAAAAGTGGCATCAAGTTGAAGAAAAATCCCAGACAGTAATGTCACGTTAATTTAAAAAAAAAATCTGTTCTATTACTCAGGATATGAAATGTTACAAAACCTGTAGAAGAGGCCGAGCAGCTCAGAGATTTTACACGTGAAGGGGCTTCAAACAAAAACTAAATCACATTAACGCATTTCCTGTACGGAGCTTATACCCAGTTTACCAAACCTAACGTGTTTTTTTCCACAGCGGGGGTCTCAAAACAAAACAAGCTGAAAGCAGATGGATCTTCACGCCTCCTCCTCACCTTCAGAATATAGAAAATATAACACTATATTTTACAAGAAGACTATCAGGACATCTATTATCTTACACGGAACAGGCAGAATATGTACAGCAAGCGTGGAACACAGAGCAACCTGAAAACGAACACTCTGGATCTTAACTTGATTTATGTTTTTTATTTGATTTAATTTAAACGAGTAAGAATTTAGTTTTTGATTCTGAGCAACTCCAATGTGTTGATAAATGTTGATTTGTTTAAATACACCAGACTTTAGGGATTAGTAAGTTCCTGAAGCTTCTAAAGTTTTTGTTTAAATGCTTCAAAAATGGGTTTAATGAGATAAAAACCTAAAAGTGTTCGCGCTGACGCCGACTTATCAAAACACTCGAGATCCTCTGGAGTCGGTTTTCTGTGGAAAAGTGAACTAATTTGTTCTTTGGTCCGCCTCAGTTTGGAGAAATAAAAGCTTAATTCTAAACGACTGGCTGACAGCTGGGCAGAGAACAAACTATCGATCAAGGTTTCAGCTCCACAGAGTGTAGCTCAAAGAACTGGAAGCACCGGTAGTTATGATCTAGACCAGAACAGAGAGAATGAGCATTAATATCTGGGAGAAAAAAAAACCATCCCCTTCATGTCAGCTGCAGAAATTTTTTTTAAATCATATCAATTTGGACCCAAACTGTCAAAGTAGCACAAAAAAATGACTGATTTTGCAATCCCTAAACCCTCGTCTCATTTCCTGGTTTTCTTTTTCCCCGTTCAAACTGGAAACAAAACTAAACACAACACCCCCTGCACACACAATTCCTTTTAAAACCGAGAAAGAACCCACAATGAAGACATGAATTTCACATTATTTTATTAACTGTTTAACCTCTGAGCCGTCCCGCTGCCCGTCACAGTTTATTTATAGAAAACTGTAGCAGCTAGCTGTAGCACTTCCAGCAGGAGTAAATCAAATAATATGAAAAATATAAAGGTTTAAAAAATAAAATGGTGTTCACTTTGTTTTTTGTGAGAATGAAGTTGTTTTAGGACGGCGGGGACTAGCCGTGAGCCCGGGTGTTAAACTGAATTTCTCCAAACTGAGGTCGTTCAAAGAGCTATCTGCAACAGGTAAGATATTAACTTCCACAGAACGCTGCTTCGGAACGCTCTGAACTATCCCTGTAAGGGTTATAAGCATGACGACGCTCGTTACAAACTAACTCTATGACGAGACGTTTTGGTCCGAGTGGTCCGTTGGGTCCGGCGGCCGAGCGTGGGGATGGATGGCGTGATGGTGAACGGCACTCTACCACGGTACAACAGTGAGAAACATGAGGGGGCTTTAAGAGGGGGTCTGTGGGTGATGAGGAACTGAGGCGAGCGCAGCCATCATGACCGAGGGCTGTTTTGGACCGAGTCTGCTGAGCCTGACTGGCCCTCCTCCTCCTCCTCCTCTTCGTCCTCATGAAGGGGGCCATTGTGCCTTTCCTGCCTGCCTGAGGTGACACTGTCCCTGGACGCAGCTGGACCTCCAGTCCCAGGCTTCTCTGGGCCTCTGGAGGCCTGATGTCTGTTCGACGGGGACAGGCTCCGGCCCCTCCCCTTTTCCCGAGCGTCACTGTTTCTCCTGTCAGCCCTCCTCTCCGCCGCCGAGGACTTTTTACTTCCCGCCTTCTGTCCGTCGTCCTCTTCATCGTCGGAGTCGATGCGGTTGAGTCTTTTGCGGATCGGACGATCCTCCTCCGACGAAGATTCAGAGTCCTCGCTTTCGTCCTCCTCGTCCGTCGAAGGCCGTCGTTTCTTCAGCATCTGAGCGAGCCGCCTGCGCCGCTGCTGCGACAGGATCTCCCTCCTCTTCCCCCGGCCCATCTTCTCCAGATCCTCCTCCTTCTCCTCGCGGGATAACCTCCTCCGTCTGTCGTCGTCCTTCTCCAGCTGCCTCCTCTTCTCTCTCCTCCCTCCTTCCCCTGCGTCCTTCTCCTCCTCGTGTCCTCTGCGCCTCTCTCGCCTCCTCCTGCCCCGGAGGTCCTCCTGCTCCTCTCGTCTTCTCTTTTTCACTCTCCTCTGGTCATCTTCCTCCTCGTCCTCGTAAGCGTCCTCCTCGTCGGAGTCTTTGGACGAATGTGACTCTGAAGGGAAGAAGGTGGAGACGTGAACAAAGAAACCAAACCCTTGTTTGTAACGAGAACCTTTGAATAAAGAGGAACTGACCGTCGCTGAAGTCGCTCGACAGGCGCTCTTTACGCGGTCTGCCCCGGCGTTTCACGCTGACCTGCTCAGCGGAGGGCCTGGAGTTGTCTGACGACTCCGAGGTCTCCCTGTAGTTGACCTGCTGTCGCTGGCCCCGCCTCAGACCCCGCCTCTTCCTGTCCGCGTCGCTGTCGGTCATGTCGCTGAACTGATCCGAGTCTGACGGGATCAGAGAACTAACATTTGGTGTTTGCTGCACTTTTATGAGATATTTTGCTAACAGACCAACACAAAAACCTTATTTCCCTCCTGCCGGCGCAAACCCACCCATCTCTACGTCGGTGTCTTCCTCCTCTTCCTCGCTGGAGCGTCTCCGCCGCCGCTTCCTGCCCTGCCGTTGGGTCTTCTTTGGTTTATATTTCGGCGCTCCTCTCGGCCCCCGTTTGGGGCGGGTCCCTCGGTGCCAGCTGCCCCCGTCGCTGCCGGCGTCCTCGTCTTCCTCCTCCCCGTCATCGTCTGCCCCGGATGCACCGAACTCCTCATCCTCGGAGCTGTGAGAGGAAGAGGAGTGAGACGAGCCCAGAGGCCGGTGAACGGGGGGGAGGTCTGATCCTGACCTGTTGCTGAGCTGAAACTCGTCCTCGCTCTCCACCGCCGTGCTGTCGCTCTCCAGGTCGTTCAGGCGCCGCTTCTTCCTGCTCCTGGCCGATCGAGTCTGATTTCTGATTGGACGCTGGCTGACCTTCCCGTCCTCTGGGAGGGCGGGGGTGACTTCTTTGCCCCTCTCTGCTCCTCCTGGATCAGAGGGAAAATTAAAAACATTGATATTAACTCCTCCTGCTGGACGAACACAGGATTGTTTTCTTGTTTTACTTTGTTCTCTGGTTTTGTGATAAATCTGCAGAATTTTTAGCCATTTCAACATCAAAACTTCCAGCTCATTCTAAGACGGGTACTCTGAATTTTAGTATTTGGAAATTTGCTTTCTAATTACTTATCTTTATAAATATTTTCCCTTTAGAAAAAGATGCTTTCAAAAACTGTTCTCTGAAAACTGCTTCAGCTGCTGTTTGTTTTTTACTTTGGGTTTTAGCTACTGTTGTTTTTTTTTATCTTTTAGCAACACTTATTATTTTTTGCTTTTACTTAGCTTTGCTACTTTTTAGCTTTAATCAAACGTTTTGCTACATTTAGCCTTTACTTACCATTTTGCTCATTTTAGCTTTCAGGTATTCTAACGTCCACAGGTTGGTTTGTTTTAGGTGTAAGCCACAATTTTGCTACAATTAGTTTTCAGCAACAGTTTTGCTAAATTTAACTTTTTTTTTACAGCTTTGAGAAATTTTTAGTTACGTTTTGCAAATTTTAGCTTTTAGCTACGATTTTGCTATTTCTTTCTATTTTTAAATACTATTTTACCACTACAGCTTTGCTAAATGTAGCTTTAAAGGCCCTGTCACACTATAACATTTTAGACAACTTATGAAAATTGTAAAGCTATCATTGTTGAAGTGTGTACGTACTGTAATGCTAACAATGCTATCAAACATAAAACTATATATATATA